CTTTGACACACACACACACACACACACACACACACATACACACACACGCAAACACACACTCTTTCTCTCTTTCTCTCCCTCTCTTTGTCACAAACACACACACCATTCAACAACAAATACAGATTCCTGGGGCTCAAGTGTGGCGACATACGACGAGTCCGCCTCCACAGCCGACAAGTTCCTGTTCGAGCACCCAGACTTCCTCGCTGTCTTTGCAGCGGGCAACTACGGCAGCAACCAGGACCTGCCCACCACGGTGACGTCACCGGCCACTGCCAAGAACGGTGTCGCGGTCGGCGCGACCATGTCGTGGCGGCGGCAGTACAGCCGGCGGCTGGGCGCGCCCGTCGCCAACGTGCGGCTCGAGATTATGAACGCGCCCGACGCCCCCCAGGGCAGCGACACGCTGACTCTGAACTGGCGCGTCGTCGGCACTGATTGGGGCCCGCAGTTCGACTCGATTTTCGGGCGGCGCCTGCTGCTCGCCGGCGCGACCGACGGCGGCGCGGCGTGCACGCCGGGGTCGGCCGAGGCGGCGCGCGGCGGCGTGCTCGTCGCGATCCGGTCGGCGGGCTGCAACCTCGCGACCAAGATCCAGACAGCCTCGGCCGGCGGCGCGCTTGCGCTGCTGCTCGCCACGCGGCAGGAGAGCGGCTACCAGATCATCCCGCGCGACGGCGCGCCCGACCTGCTGCCCGTCGGCGGCATCCCGCTGTCGATGGCGCAGCAGCTGCGGCAGTACGTCGCCGTCGGCACCAACACCGCGTACGTAACCTTCAGCAAGCACGAGGTCTGCGACTGCCCGTCTTTCGAGGACATCGCCTCGTACTCCTCGTTCGGCCCGACCTCGGACCGCCGCTTCAAGCCCGACATAGTCGCGCCCGGCGACCTGACCTCAGCCTACTCCGACGGGCAGTACACCGGCGCGATCGACTCGTGCCGCACGATGCGCAAGCAGGGAACGTCCATGGCAACGCCGGTGGTGGCCGGCAGCGCGGCGCTGGCGCGGCAGTACTTCATGGCGGGGTTCTACCCGTCTGGCAGCAAGGGCGCGGGCGTCGCGTTCACGCCGTCGGGGGTGCTGCTGAAGGCGGCGCTGGTGGGGGGCACCAGCGAGATGCTGGGGTACACAGAGGTGCGCTTGGGGGCGGCCGCGTGATGGGCTTTGATTGGCACAGGGATGAGGATGGGGAGATGCGCGTGTGGCTGTGGAGTGACATCAGCGTTTCTTAATTTGCGTGGTGTGTGTGTGAGGTGGGGGGTATATGTGCGGGAGTGTATGTGCGCGCGTGCGTGTTTGTGTGTGTCTGCGTGTGAGAGAGTGAGAGGGAGAGAGAGGCAGAGAGAGAGAGAGAGAGAGAGAGAGAGAGAGAGAGAGAGAGAGAGGGAGGGAGGGAGGGAAGTGTGTGCACGCCCGCGTACGTGTGCGAGCGCGATCATGCGTGTGAGCGTGCTTGCAAGAGCGTGTGCGTGCTTGTAAGAGCGTGTGCGTGCTGGGAATGAAAGCCGCCCACCATGTTTCATGGCTTGCTGCCTCACGACTGGACACCACCCCCTCTGTCCCCCTCTTCCTCCCCGCCCGCAGCTGAGCCTGCCGCTGGAGCCCTCCCCAAGCTTCCGCCAGGGCTTTGGCCGCCTGAACCTCACGCGCGCCATCCCGGTCAGCGGCGTGTCCCCTGCGGGCTGGCGCATCCAGGTGAGGGCGGCGCCCCCGCTGCGCCACACTCGGCTGCCTCCCTCCCTCCTGGCTCTGACGCTTGCCTAGCTCGCGCGTTGCCGCCCACCGCTGCCGCCACCTCCGCCACGCCTGCGCGCCGCCGCTCGCTGCCGCTAAAATCCTGCCTGGCAGCAAAGCGCTGCCGCATCGCTGCGGGGCTTTGGTCACCTGTCATCGCAAACGCCCCAACCCCTGCCTCCACTTGCACCCATTTCCCTAAACGCCGCCCTGCGTGGATTTGACGGCCCACCGATCACAGGTTATCGACCTGGCTGGCTTGAATGAGGGCGAAACCCACAGGTACTGCATCACTGTCACCGGCCCGACCACCATCACGCTCACCTGGTACGTGGCTGCGCCCGTGCTCGCGCCCGGGGTTGCGGCCACCGCAGCTCCCTGGTCTTCTTGCGCTGCCAGCTTGCTCCACTCTCCCTTGCGCCTGACTCTCGCCCCCGCTCGCGTGCCCTGTCAGCGGCCCGCGGGACCGTTGCCAACTGTCTGTTTGTGCACGCGCGCATGCGCTCCTCCTGGCTCTTATATTTTTTGTACAATTCAAACCCCGCACTCGTAACTATTTTCCCTGCATCCAGGTACGACTGGCCTGCGTCACCCGCGGCGGGGGTTACCCTGCAGAACGATCTTGACCTGGTGGTTACACCCTCGCGCGCGCAAGGCCTGAAGCTGCGCGGCAACGGGTGGCACGACAACCTCAACACGGTGCGTGCGGGGCAGGTCAAGGGCGGCGTGAGGACGCCGTGCCGGTGTCGGGGGGAATGTGACCCTGCGGCGCGGGCGCGGAGCCCGCCGCATCACCTGCAGGCCGGCTGGTCTGGGTTTTGGAGCAGGCAACCCCTCAGCCGTCACGCTGACAGCCCAAGGCCAGCAGGCGACAGGCTTGTCACGCCCTCAATCCAAGCTCGATCTTCCTGACAAAATTGATGCGGACGTGGACTCAATGTCGTACTCCCCCCCCCCCCCCCGCGGGCCTGCTCTCGCAGGTCGAGCGCGTGAAAGACATCCCCCTGGGCCCTGCCCAGATTGAGGTGTCGGGGGCCCGCGTCATCGCCAAGGCGGGGACACAGAAGTATGCTTTGGTGGTGCAAGGTGAGGCCTTTTGTACACGTGCCTGCGCACCACAACACACACACACAAACACACACACACACACACACACACACACACACACACACACACACACAAACACGCACGCGCGTGCGCGTGCGCATTTGCGTGCGCGCACGCGAGCACACAACCCAAGTAACAAGAGGAGTGTGCGATACTGTCAGGTGCCGCAGAACGTAGGATAGGTGATCCTACGACCTGATTGGTTGGCAAGGCCCAGGTGTCTTTCAGCCCACGCCACCCCGACTTTGCTGACCTTGTGCCTGCTGCCCCGCTCCACCGCGCCCCGCCAGGCCGCTTTGACGGCGTGCTTGCGTCTTCAGACGGCAAGAACCCAGACCCAGCCGCCAGGGACGCGGCGCGCGACTGCCCCGCGCCGGTGCCCGCACCGCCGGCCGCGACATCCGCGCCCATCGTCATTGGAGGGGCGGCGCCCGCCGCGACCGCCGCTGCCGCAGCGACAGCCACACCAGACGTCAAGGCGGCCGTGCCGCCGGCGGCGGTCGTACCACCAGCGGCGGCCGTGCCGCCTGCGGCCGTCGTGCCGCCGGCGGCTGCAGTGCCGCCAGCGGCCGTGCCCCCTGCGGCTGTGCCGCCAGCGGCCGTGCCCCCTGCGGCTGTGCCGCCAGCGGCCGTGCCGCCAGCGGCCGTGCCGCCAGCGGCCGTGCCGCCAGCGGCCGTGCCGCCAGATGCGCAGCCGGTGCCGATACAGATCCAGACACAGCCTGCACCCGTGCCGGTTGCGCCTGTGCCCGTGCCAGCAGCGCCCGTGCCGGTAGCGCCGGTGGCTGTGCCGTCGGCGCCCGTGCGGGCGGCGCCCGGGGCCAATCCAGACGCGGTGAACCAGCTGCTGGCAGGGATGGGCGCCAAAGGGTCTGCCCCCGGCGCCGCCGCCCCCGCCAAGCCCGTGCTGCAATCGCAGCCGGTGCCGTTGGCGGTGCAGCAGCCCGCCGCGGCGCAGGCGCTGCTGCCGGTGGTGCCGGCAAGCCAGCCCGCAGATTCAACAGCGGCGGGCCAGCTGGTCAACGCCATGCAGGGCGGCGACGGCCAGCCAGGCCAGCGCAGGGGCCTGGCCGAAGGCCCGCAGCCTATGGCCGTGCTGCGCGCCGACGACGGCGGCGCGGCGGCGGCGGCGCAGGCTCAGCCCCAAGGCGGTGGCGTGGCGGAGGCTGCAGAAGCGTTGCTCGCCGCCGCCGCAGACGCGGCCGAGGTGGCGAGCGAGGCGGCCGCGGATGCGTGGCTGTGGGGCTCTGAGTTTTGGGAGGACCTCCCCCGCGGCGCCGCCACCGCCGCCGCCGTCGTGCTCGCCGCTGCCGCCCTCGCCGTCGCCCGCGT